GAATAGATGTCCCAATGTATTCTGATTGGTGTTCAAGCCTTTGGGTTGGAATTCCAGTTGACCTTGATTGACCCTGAAGTTGGTATACACTGTAAGAAAGAGATGACACACATTGACCTCTGATGTGTGTGACCTTCACTTCAAATTGATCATTCTGAATTATAATGTCCATTTGAATTCTTTATTGTATAATTAACAATGAGTTTACATCAATCATGACTCTATTTTATCTAGACTCTGATGTGATTGGTGTCTACACCAATGTTTGTATGAACCTGTAAGGTTTTACTGAAGCTGAGTTGTATTGCAGATTATTATAGCTCGATTATTAACAGTTTTGAAAAGGAAAATATTAATTTCATTAAAATCAATAAATTACTTGGACTTCTCATAATCTAAGATTAATATTTATCTTCTCAGTATATAGATGTTTGAGAATGTACTTAGTTGGTTATTATCTTCTCAGTGGGCGGTTCCTGTCTCAGAGATTGACCTCGATCCTGAGTTTGAGATTCCTGACTTTGGGTTACCTTTGGGTAAATGTCAAAGATTCTTCATCTGTCCGATGTCCCGTTCTTCACTGCTCTGTGACAGATTTGACTTGCATTTCCTTGTCAAGGAGTGCAGGAACACGTTGTGGGTTATTTTTGTTTGAATACAAGTGTTTCTCTGTCGTATTAATGTTTTTGACATCATTTTCCATAAAACCTCCTTTGAATGAATCAAGTTGTTACAGCTATTGTGGTAATGTTCCTTAATTGTCACAACTTTGTGGTCATTCAGATTAAATGTAGGAGTGAACATTTATAATTAATTATAGATGTTGGACTCAGATTTACCTGCTGGGAGAACTGTATTATGTTTGGGGTCAGTGAGGATTGGTTAAGATTGTACATGACTCTTCATCTACAGTAGGTAGTGATTTGGCAATGAAAATTAATTTAAATTTAAAAAAAAAAAAAAAAAAAAAACCACAGGTAGGGAAAATTACAGTGGTAGGCCCTTGACTGAGAGTAGGTGGAGTCCTTTAACTGGTGAGATGTGGGGAGGGGGATCAGAGATTAAGCTCCACTAGATCTTGGGTTTAAACAAGCAACCATACACTTGTGTTTTATACCATTTGACCCTATATTTAGTTTGATTTTGGTCAAGAGTTAATTAGTGCACTAGAATTTCTCTCATCTCTATTCAATCTACATATTTCTTATTGCTGGAGGCAGAGAAGAATGGTGCTTCTGTTATATTTATTGACTAGATGTATAGAGATGTAGAGATGCCCGCAGTGACTTAGTATCCAGTGTTAATTTTATTTCACATCCTGTTTTGACAGTGATTCTGAGGAAATGAAGGGTATCGATCTTTCACAGCATTCTGTATAGAATATCACTTACTGGGTTCAAATGAAAAACAAAAGTTCCTTATAAAGGATGAAATTGATGTAGGTAGCTCTTGTATAATATAATCATATTAAAAAGTATTTATCAGAGAATATCTCGTTATCTGGAACCTATTGGCGTGGAGAAAAAACTTAAAGATATCCAAAGATTCGAGATATCAAGGTTAAAATACAAATATAAATAGCGATTGGGACCCCCATTTCACTTTGATATATCCATGATATTTGAGATATCAGTGTTTGAGATACCAGAGTTCAGCTGTATGCATAAACACAAGGTTGGTCTGCATGGTTCTCTTAGTAGACATGAGTGGATTCCAACCAATATCTTGAGAACTTTTTCCTTCAGTTTGAAAAATCAAACTTTGTATGCAAAGATTGCTCATGGTATATAACAGATTGATTGATCATTGAGTTTGAAAGATGAAGGGAAATCATTGATTTCCAAGTTTGACAGATGAAGGGTAACCTCTGTTTTCTTGGTACACCACCATCAAATGATTTTTTTTAGCAATGTTTTGAAAATCGTTTGCTTTCATGGTCATCAGGTTTTTGTACACAGGTAGGTCAATTCAGATGACCTCTGTTGATTTTCAGGTCAAAAGGTCAAAGATTATGAAGTTTTCCATTATAAAATACCCACTTCAAATGATGCTGGATTGTCATCAAACTTTTTTAATAAGGTTCTTGGCCATTTATTGTTGACCTCTGTTACATTTCAGGTCAAAGAGTCAAAGGTCACAAATATTTGAACTACACCAAATTTTATGAAATCTAAACATTTTTATGGAAATTTGTTATACCTTAATATTTTATACCATTTAATATATCGGTATTTAAGGAGTAAGGGTGGTGTACAAAATGTTCTTTAGATGGATGCCAGTTCACTTACCTACAAAGTCTGAATGTTTTCATCATAAAATTTTCACACTCATCAAACAAACAAAAAAACATGCTTTGATTCATCATGTTCATTTAGTTCAATATGTTAACTGAAATAAACCAATGATGTTATGTTTTATTGATTTCAATTAAGGAGCAAGTTTTTAAATCTAGAACAAACATAAAAAGTATAATTTACGACCAGAGAGTGAAACTCTTTTTTGATTGGTTGATTTCCGTTTTATTTCCGTGCTTTGAAGTTATGAAATCTTTTAAATGCACTCCATTGTTGAGAGGTGTTTTACCTAGAAATCAGGTGTGGTGAATTCAGGTTGTACGCATATTTTTATTCTTCCACAGTGATTTTTTTATTTCTTGATTGTCAAGTTTTATGATCAGAAAGGTGCTTATTCATGGAAGAACACATTTTAATTTACATATTAACACAAATTTAAACAAATTAGGTGTAACTTGTCATGTGCATCAGTTACTTGAGAGGTTATACCAAAAATCTGTGGAACAACAATCACCCAAGCTTTTATTCCAATGTAATGGGAATTTAATAACTGGGATACATTTTACTATAATATTCATAATTTTGTAGAAACCACACACAATGTTACGTAAAGCAAACAGTGGTGACACTAAAGGAAAATATCTAGAGTTTGGTATTGGGAGTGAAAACCATATTGTGATATATTACGTACAATACAGTAAAACTTGCATATAGTGAACACTTTTACAATGAATTGATGCTTATAGCGCAGTGATCTTCATTTCCCATAGCACTGTAGCACTTAATCACATACAGAAGCTGAAATTCTACAAAAATAATTATCTTTTTAAATGGTGTTTATATTTGGGTTAACCTTTGGAAATCCTTGAAGTCTAGGTTAACCTGTAGAAATTCTTGACGTCTTGGTTAACCTGTAGAAATTCTTGACATCTTTGTTAATTGGAAGGAATTGTTCACATACTGGTTAACTTGAAGAAATTCTTAACACTTTGGTAAAATGAAAGGAATTCTTCAGACTTTGCTTAATTGGTAAGAATTCTTCATATCTTGATTAACCTGTAAAAACTATTTACATCTTGGTTATCTGGAAAGAATTCTTGATATCTTGGTTAACAGGAAGGAATTTTTGACATCTTGGTAAACAGGAAAGGAATTCTTGACATCTTGGTTAACACATGAGAATTTTTGATATCTTGGTTAACAGGAAGGAATTTTTGACATCTTGGTTAACAGGAAGGAATTCTTGACATTTTGGTTAAGAGGAGGGAATTCTTGACATCTTTTTACATTTAGGAGTTCTTTGGTTTACCTGTAGAAATTGTTCACCTCTTGGTTAACTGGTTGTAATTCTGTACAGTATCATTCTCTGTCTGTACGTCACATCTTGGCTACTTTGTACGTTGTAGAAATCTTCTTCATATTTTGGTTAACCTGAGGAATTCATCACAATTTGGTTAACTAAGAGGAATTCTTCACGTTTTGGTAAACTGGTAGCAGTTCTGTACATCTTGGTTATTCTGAAGGAATACTTCACGTCTTGGCTGACTCCTAGGAATTTCTCATTCTTGGTTAACCTTTAGGAGTTCTTCACTATTAGTTAACTTCTAGGACTTCTTCTTGCTTAAGATGTAGAAGTTCTTCACATATTGGCTTACCTGTAAGAATTGTCCATAGTTATAGTTTTTCACATCTTGGTTAACCTGTAGAAATTTTGTGTGGGCGAGAACCTTAATAAAAGTCCATGACTTCAATGCTTGCTGTGAGGTATTATGATTGTAATCAAAACACAGGAAATTTGATTGTTAAGTCTGAGGCAGCTTAAGAAGGATGCAGTCATTATCAATAATAAAAATGTAGTGTGAAAGTCAGGTAAAATGTAATTAATTAGCGATTGACCAATCAAACTCAAATATTCACTTTTGGTTTTAAAAAAATGGTTAAGTTCTCCTATATATTTACAGACAAAAATAAAACTCATGTGCACTGTGTAATTATATAATAGTGGTAACGAATTTAAATGAATGTCACTTCTTTAATAGGAAGGTTCAAGTAAACACCTGTTTGACATGTTAATGTACAATGTACTCATTGCTGTTCTTCATTTGTAATATTTTGTTTAAACATATTAAATGAAAGTATAATTTGCAAGTAATTTAGTTGTCTTTTCGTGATATATTTCCAGCTGTTTATGCTTGAAAGTATTTGCCGGTTGTTAGTCTTTGCCTTAAATGAAAGGATCATTTAGCCCTAAAATGTACTTATATGCAAAATATGCTTTCCGTGAAATATTAGATCAGTTCTAAATTGAATCATTTAAAAAAGAAAAGCTTAAATGGTAAATGAAAATTTTGATTTTTCAGTAAACATCCTCTTCATACATTATGATAATAGATGTGTAATACAAGGCTGTAATTGCCAGACTAACATACAAGCATCTTTAAGGATTTATATATAAGATTTAAGAACTTTGTAAATTAATGTTAAAAGCGTCATATTTCGATATAGTTAATCTGAATCAATTCAAATTGCAATCATTTTGAAAAGTGAAGATGAAAACTGGAGAAGATAAATAATGTAGCCGTAAAAAAATCACATTATGACACTTGGCTGACTATTAAGGCCCATAGGCCCTTTATTTATTTCATAACCACGTAACATAAAACAGTTTTATGTAGAGAAAGTCATTTTATGTTTGTGTGTTTATAGGTTGCCTCCCCTTGGACTGGACATGGACGTCCAGTCTTCGGTCGGTCCATCGTCTGCCAGTCCACATGACCTTCAGCACAAGGCCATGAGTTTATCCTTCAGCTCTGGAAATCACGGAGACTCAGGTCCAGGGATAAACATCCCAAGTAGTGTCAACGGAAATCTCACCAATGGAGCTGACCATGGGTCAATGGTTAGCTCAAGTGGTGTGGGGTCCCTTCCAATGTCACTGGTCAAGAATTCGGCGAAAGCTCCCACGTGTAAAGTGTGCGGTGACGAATCGTCGGGGTTTCATTATGGGGTAGACTCTTGTGAGGGATGTAAGGTAAGGAATGCTCATCACTATGTAGTAATTTTACCCACAAGTCTTAGGGAAGTTTGGATATATTGTTATCCACATCTGTCTCTGTCCATCCATCAGGCATGTCATTTGTGTCCCCCTTTTATGTTTTTAGAAAATTTCTACTATTAGACTTCAGCCATAAAATTCAATGAGATTTGAATGACCACTGTTATTTGACGCAATACTTATTTTAACATATACAAAGAATTTATATTTACTAATATTGTAAACATGTTTATATATATTGTACTAAATAGCATGCATGATAAGTGGGAAATGTAGGGGACATGATGACAAAGATTTTTATGTTATTCAGAGGTCAAGGTCAAAACTGTACTCTTCTGCGACACAAACACGTCTATGTATGTCAGTATGCTAATAATAGAGACACCTGGGGCAATTTTCGTAACTTGGGTTGCATAGAAAAATAAAAATAAAGATCTGGTAAAAGAGCACATCAGAGGGCCCTGTGTTACAATTATCCCCTCTATCTTATGATCTTGAATTTTGAAACATTATTTATAATATATTGTTTCATTTTCAGAATCATCCTGCAGAGAAATGAAAGCAATTATTTTACTTTCATGTAAAAAAAAAAGATGTTAAATTTTCTTGAATTTAGATTTTTAATAGAAATAGTTTTGAGAGGGGAGAATCCCTGGGAGCAGTGGGACTTGTTAATTCTGTCTATGGAACAGGACTGATTATTAAGATTTTTTATCTCAGACATTTCACCCAATTAAAAACACTCAGGGAAGGAAAAGACTCAAAGAGACTGAGTGATAGGATTAGGCTATTTAATTGGGCCGTGTTAAAGATGGAGGCTCTGAAGCACTGATGAAAGAACTTTTTTACATGATTAATAATTAATGGAATTGTTTAGATAATCAGTACAGCCTTGTTAGGCATTCTTTAAAGTGGAGCAAAAAAAACATTTTAAACGAATGGGTATTTTAGGATTCTGTGCGTCAGAGAAATTAAGTGAAAACTTAATTTTCGGATGTTATTTGTAGTTTTGTAGCCACTTTCTTTAGGTTGAAGAGCAGTGATCAAAATGAAATCCTTATTTTTTTCCCTCTAGCTCTTCTGTCATCAAGTGCAGAAAAATTAAGAGTGAAATGCACTGATCCGTTGTCAGGATTGTTATCAAATATTTGCTTTTGTAAGTGATTCTAGATAATGATGGCATGAGGGAAATCTTACGGAAATTCTGTGTTCACAATAAGATAGTCTCAATATTCAGTCACAGTTACAGAAGATCTGTACTCAATAAGAATATTTAGTCATAGTTACAGAAGAAATGTGGACTCAGTCTCTAGGCTAGTCTGTTATTGTCCTTCAGAATAATTAGAAGAGAAAAACAAAGCATTCAAAGTGACTTCATTTACAACAGATACATTTATAATACAGTAAAAAAATTTCTAATCCAGAAACCACTTTATTGCCACAGAAAATACACCATTCCTAAGTAGACATTATTCTACATGTTGAAAATATTGAAATGGACAAAAAGTTTACATTGTAATAGGCAAGACTTTGGAATACACAGTATCAGAATTAGTCATGTTCTACTGTACATTCCGAGTATGCCCTGTATTGATTTTTAGGGATGATTTCACCTCAGTTGACTGAATGAAGAATTACATATATACATGTACTAATTCTCTTAGTATATATTCATCTCTGGGGAAAAATAAAAAGAGAAAAAAATAATTAAGCCATTACTTTGTTATGCATCATAAAACCATGTTTCCAGAAACTGTAACATCTGGTCGTACTGAAGGCGTGCTTGACATCAGGTGAAAGACCTCCATCTTACACACCCCCCTATTAACACTACACAGGTGTGTGTGGTACTTACAACTATTTGCTTCACAAAAACCTCTAGGGAGAATCTGCCATGATTGAGATTTGAATACTGTTCTAAAATCAGCTCCTATTATATTGGGGAACAAAAACTGCGAATTACTGTAGTTGTTTGTCCCTTTCAAATGTTCATTGTAGGAAACCATCAGAGCCCAAATAACAGTCACTACATACAAATAAATTTGTATTTCTCTAAATATGAATATAAATAATGACAGCACTAATTAGATGTTTACCTAAACATTTACTAAATTTAAATCACGCCTATACAAGTACTTGTATCTACAGCAGTTGATCTCAACGAGTTTTAGTTTTGTACATGCGCGTGTAATACATTGTATACGTAATTTTCAGAATTTTTTAGGGACTTTTTATTATGGTAATACACTATAATTTTCAGGTTTTTTCCCTCCCTTTTTAACGATTTTTCCGTTGTTGTGATGCACTATAATTTTCAGGGTTTTTTTTCTCCCTTTTTTAGGGATTTTTCTGTTGTCGTAATACACTATAATTTTCAGTTTTTTTTTCTCCCTTTTTAGGGATTTTTCTGTTGTCGTAGTACACTATAATTGTCAGGGTTTTTTCCCTCCCTTTTTTAGGGACTTTTCCATTGTCGTAACACACTATAATTTTTTTTCCTCCCTTTTCTTAGGGATTTTTTCGTTGTCATTATACACTGTTTAATTTTTTTCCCTCACTTTTTTAGGGATTTTTCCGACGTTGTATCACACAGGGAATGACACACAAATGTTCTAATGAGGAGAAATGTGAAATCACGCCCTTCACTCGAAACAGCTGTCAGTACTGTCGTCTCAAAAAGTGCTTCGCTGTCGGAATGTCCCGAGAAGGTAAGGAAAGAAACTTGCAGGTTTTATCTCACGTAATGTCCCGAGAAGGTAAGGAGAGAAGCTTGCAGGTTTTATCTCGTGTAATGTCCTGTGGAGGTATGGAGAGAAGCTTGCTGGATTTATCTATATTTCTTACACAGAACTTCTGTTGTATTGGTCTAAATTCACAGTGAAAATTAGATTTTGATATTGAGACTCCGAAACATACAAATATATAAAATCATGAAAAGTAAGATACCAACACATAGAGCTACATACAGAACTTACACAAGTCATATTAAGGGGTGTACCGAATCAACGTACTACACAAAAATAGCTAAATCAAAAATTCGGTCAACATATGAAATAGTAAGAGGCCAACAAAGATGGCTGTATGTTGATATATAAATATACAGTTACTAAGGGGGCAACAGTTAGTTGTTTTATACTTTCATGTAAATTAGTTGAATCTGATTCGTTGAGAAACATTTGTTAAAAAGCATTATTACCCGCTGAATAATGAAGCCAGGCCCTCCAGCATAGCAACAGTCAACATTGCTTGATGATGAGTGATATTCCAAAAAATATTGACTGCAAAGAATTTATGCACACAAGGTTCACTGTAATATGTATTTGTATAAAACATATACAGTAAAACTTGTCTAATCCGGCGACCAGTGGTTCCAAAATTTTTGGCCGGATAAGACAACATCCGGATTGGAGAAAATTGAACCGTTATAGCAAGTTAAAAATTACATAGATATAAACTATAGGAGTGGTAAATAAATACTTGATCAAATGTGTCATTTTTTACGTTTCACTTGAAAAAATCGTCTATTTCCGTTTGTTTTGAACTCTGTTTGTTCTTCAGAATTTTCATTTCTGTTTAAGTTTTTTATTCAGTGTCGAAATATAATATTTCTTGGTCATTTATCAAATTTGAAAATCGTTAAATGTTTTAAATACACTCAAAAACCTTATCGTAGCTGTAAATATTATTTTGTTAGGAACAGATTCCTAATTAATTTCTTTCTTTTAAAATTAATATGTTTGAATATTTAGACACTGTATACATGTAATGAATATTGAACCAAAATCTTATGTCGTTATGGTCGTTGTAAACTAGCGACACAAAGGGAAGTAATTCGAATTGCACGTCGTGCACGCAAAACGAAAGTAGAAAGGAGGTCATGAATAAGTCTCCAAGTTTTTCTTCAGACATGCCACACGCAACCATAAATATCACTCATCCTCGCCTTACTTGAGCCATTAATGATTTTTTTTATCACGTTTGTTAAAATCTAAACTGTCGATACAGGATAGATCATTAACGGGACAATAATTACCCCACGCGAGACTTCTCTAATGACCAGCGGGCACAGGTAAAAATAAGTGGCCGGATTAGAGGAGATAATTTGTACTAATTATGAGTAGTAAGTTCTTTAAATAGCGGCTGGTTTACAGAATAGACAAGATCCGGACTGCACAACATTTATTAAACATAAATTATAAAGAAAATTCAAGGGACTAAAATATTACGCCGGATTGAACAACATGCCGGAATGTACAACATCCGGATTCAACAAGTTTTACTGTATAATAAATATTGCATGTAGTTGAGTGTAACATTGAAAATTTTCATCCCTCGAAAACCATTGTTTCTTGGGGTGGAAATTTTCAATGTTACACTCAACTACATGTAATGTTTATATAATCATAAATGTCATCTCAGAGAATATGATTACAACTAGTTATTGTAAAGGACAGTTTCATCTCCAGTTGTTTTATCAAATAAGAGATAGCTTAGTATAAAAAAAATGAAAGCAATATTATTCACAGATAGATACAACAAATAGATGGTAGATTTAAATACAGAGGTCAAATATCAACACCGATATATATTAATAACATCAACACTGCTATATATCAACAACAACATCATCACTAATATATATCAACAACAACATCATCACTGACAATGATATATCAACAACATCAACACTCTATATATCAGCAACGACATCATCATTGATGTATATCAACATCAACACTGCTAAATATCAACAAAAAATTAACACTGATATATATCAACAACATCATTACCGCTATATATCAACAACATAATCACTGCTTTATATCAACAACAGGATAATCACTGCTATATATTAACAACAATATCATCACTGCTATATATCAGCAACATCTATACTGCTATATATCAACAACATCAACACCGCTTTATGTCAACAATGATGACAAGATAAGATCATATTTTATAAAAATCTCAGGAAAACCATTGTTGACCGAGGTGAAGCCAAGGTCAACAATGGTTTTCAAGGGATAAAAATTTCATGTTACCTTAAATAGAATGTAAGATATTTGTTATACTGAAAGTATTTAGAATTCATTTTTAAAAAGGAAAACCTCACATGGACCATACATGCAACATTTCAGATTCTGCACAATTAACAGTTTTTATACGTTGCTATGTAATGTTACCTGGAGGGTGTGGTTTATGCACTCAGTAAGGTACAATACTTTTAACAAATTTTTTTAAACCAATCAGATTTTACTATTCATTACAACATGAAAGTGTAACATAGCTAGATATCAAAAACTAATAAACTAGTATTTAAGATAAATATGAACTAAGAAATCTTGATAAAACTGAATATTATCAACTGTACAGCATGCTAATTTAACCATGCTTGTTGAGTTCTTATGAGATAAATGTGTAGGAGAATAAGAAGTAGGCAGACATTGGATTTCTATTGTTGGGGTAGGAAGGAGGTGCATTGTCAGGGTGTTTCCAGCAAAGCATCGAGAGAAACAAACAGTACAGAGAAAAACTTTTGAGAACTATTGACAAAGTTTGAATGCTAAACAAAATAAAAACTTAATGCCTGCCAGAAAATATAAATTTACAACCGTGTGAACAAAAAAATAAAAGCTGAGAAATATTGAACCATCCATTTAGAGAAGATCAGGAATAAATTGCGTTCTTTGTGTTACGGAGAAGAACTTATAATTGAGAGCAAAGAAAAACGGCAAACATAAAACATCAGTAGAGGCCCAGCATTGAATTAATAACTGCTGTGTTAATGTAAGACCAGCTATGTATGATTATTAGTAGACCTTTAACTCTGAGTTAAGTGAAGACTAATTATGAAAAAAAAGCTTGTTGTATAGAGTGTGGTAATGGTTTATAACAGTGATGTTTCGATATAGAGATGGCAGAGAACGATGGAGGAAGCCATTGATGTCAGTCGGGGCTAATAGGTGTCAGGTGGCTTGACGGCCATTAAACTGGTTCCATGGGGCTGAAGGAGTAGGAAACCAGACAATCGGGGATATATCAATCTTTCATGTCGGGAAATTCAGAAAAGCTGGCTACTTGAAGCAATAATTTGTTAACTTGAAAGGTTAAAGAGGTAGATTTATCCTATCATTGGACATCATGGACAAAATTGATGTTTCTGTAAATTTAGAGTACTATACATTTTCGTTCAAAGCAAGAAATATGGTTTTGTGATTCAACATGAAACAAAAGACCATCAGCAGCTACTCAGATTAAAATGTACATGGGGTACTGTTTCTCAACATTATTTTGTATAAGTCAACAGTGACTTGTCTGTAAAACTTTTCTAAAGTAGACAATTCCACAAAATTATGAAAATACTCCAAATTGAAAAATACTTATAAAAAATTGATGCTTTAGGGCTTTATTCTAGAAGTCTTCATATAAACTTGATATGTCCTCCTACAATATGCTGAATTAGGATAATAAGAAATCCATTGAATTTCAACAAACACAAATATTTTGTCCATGGATTAAATCTCAAGGTCTTTCCCTGAGTGATAGCTGGCACGATGACACAGGGGATGACAGCAGGTAAAGCTTGTTGTCCAGGGAGAGAGAGAGATAAGAACAAGAAAGTTGTTTGTGTAGACTGGTCACTCACGGTCAATGAACCAGCGGCCTGGATTTATAAACAGCAGATTACAAAGGTCACCAACAGGAACTTAATGTCCCCATGTTTATATCGGGTCTATACTGGTATGTGGCATATCAACTGGTGTATTTATAGCCAGCATTGCTGATTGATTGATTTATGATTTGTTCAGTTGATTGTAATGTGTGACTTAATTATCATAGGATGTCCCGCAATAGCAAATCAAAGTGATTTTAACTTGAATAATGGAAAATGATATATGATTTTTTTTTTTAAAAGACTGTTGACTTTTTCTTTTTTTAAAAGACTGTTTTGTAAAAGGTTCTTGCTATGAAAGCTTTTGGGTATTAAATAAAGATAAGATTTAGATAAGACTTAATGACACAAATTTTGGGCCCTTCAGGGCATACAAGTAAAGAATAACACACATAAAAAGAAATTCAAAATTAATAGCAGCAACATAGATTATATTGATATATAAATTCTGGTAAAATTAGAAGGGCAATACAGACTTTACTAGATCCAGTTGGTGTTGAACTGTTTCATATAGCCATGGTTTTCTCTACTCATGATATTGGACTCTTGTTCAATATTCCAAACCAACCATATTTTAACCCCCCCCCCCAACACACACACACACACACACAAAAAAGTTTTTTTTTTTTTTTTGCCAAGTTGTGTACATATGGAACTTGATTATTAGAGGGTACGAGAATAAATTGACATTTACATTTTATATTATCAGCTTATTTCTGCCCTGCACAGCTCTGAGGAAAGATTAAATGCATTAGTTGTTCAAGGGAAATTGTAGAAAAGTATTTAAGTACCTTGCAATTTTCTTAAAACAAGTCAGGAACAAACTGTCAGAGGAGTTGTTAATAGACTGTCACTGTTAAAGTGCAATCAGCAATTAAACCTGCAGACCTCAGTTACAGTGCAGAAATTGATTAAATATCTCTCTGTGTGTGTGTGCACCCAAAATCAGATGTCAGGAGTGAACGAGAAAACAGGAGATTATATCTGATGGGAGAAAGAGAGAGACTAAAATATTACCTGGATACTAAAGTT